AAGTCAACCGGAAAATTTGGGAAACAGGGGAGTGGACCTGTCGGTGGGGAACTCGAAAGGGAAATAGGCGCCGCTCTTGTCCTCAGGCGATTAAGTCTTATCACTAAAAAGAACGGTTCACGATAAGAATGGTGACTGGGTTCTTCCCTTAGGAATACTCATGTCAGTGGCCTCCATGGGTGGTAGAAGGGACCCTCTCGCTCCCAAAATCTCGACGGTCAAGTCATAGTGGAAGCCATGTTGCTGGCTTGGGTGGATTTCCCGCCTCTCGATCGATGTCACGTCAGACGAGTGTCGAAGCGATACAGATCGCGAATATTCGTTCTTCTTTCGTTCACACAATCAGCTGATCGCCGAGTGATGAGGCCATGTCTTTCTCCCATTCCTTTTCCCTCTGTTATTCTTTTTGCCGCGATCCCTATATTAAGTTCCTACCCCAAAAGGCTGGAAAACGTGAGCTATTTTTGCTGTAACTAGGGTTTTTTGTTTGCTTATGTTTGCTGTTTGCGACCTCCACTGAAAAAAATTTGAGCAAGATAACATTGAGCGCTCGTAGCTGTTAGAAAACCACTAGCTGGGCTCGCATCCTGGTATAGAGCCAACCATACTTACTAAGTCTTACATCACTTCGAAGCTGTCTATTTTATACAAGACTCGTCTGAGAGGATAGAACCATGGCCTCGCCCTATACATTGGTTGACCACCACAAGGCGTACATAGGCCCCACCATACGCATTCAAAGCGCTATCAATATTCTATGGGCGAAAGACAATGGACTCTACTCTTTACAAAGAACATTAGACTCCACTATTCATTTATAAGCAGTAGTTCAAGCTCAATTGATGATCTAAGTCTCAATCCAAACTTCCATGAGAACGCGAAACCGTTACCTGGTCAATTGCGTAAAGCAGGGGTGGTACGTAATAGATAATAGTAAATATAATAAAAGCGTATATTTAAACAAAAACTTTTGCACACCAGCAACTGAGTTCCGTTGACTATCAAATTCCTCGAGTGAGCACTAGCAATGTCTTCATTCGTCGCTTCCACGAGCCAGAGTAGTCCAGTTGAATAACCCCGCTTGAGGGACACGGGGAGAACACTTTTTATTTCGCTCCTTTCCATTTCGCTCCGTGAGGAAGTCTGATCATAGCACTCGCGATCGCCTGGTATTCGCTTGATGTCCCGAGACATTCAGGCAGTTACCGCCCTGGTCTACCGGTCGTTTCTGGCCTACCTGTTCATCTATTCATAGGCGTAAGCAACCAGGTTCTGAGTGATTCTTCTATTGACGGAATCCAAGTAGGGTCCCAGTCTTTGGGGAGTAATTCACAGCGGGAAGGAGAGCGGTGTCAAAAAGGTGAACGCGGGGAGGGATTCCTCTCCGCTACTCCCTCGACATTTTAAATGCTCGGCAACTCCTTCTGCTCAGCTCCTGAGCTAGGTCATTCATCATGTTGACCTCTCGACCCAGATGCACAGATAAAGATGGGAAAAGATGATGCCGATTTTTATTTGTAAAACTTCCTCAAACCGCAGTGCCTGCCATCTGAACTGTAAATTTTGTATATTCTAGAATGATAAACGATTCCGAATAACAACGAATAACAACGTAGGATGGAAAGTGCATTTATTAGAGCAAACTCGTAGAATTAGCAGAGATTGCATGACTTTCCACACATTTTCGTCCTGATATTAATCGGGACATCGGCCTGATTGCAGAAGCCACCTCTTACTAGTGAAGCACAAATACTGGAAATGTTCTAGCAATGAGTCACTGAAACTCCTAGAATGACAAGGTTCCTCACCTGCTTCCGTCAGTGCACTGATTGCCTGGATTTTTGGTTGTGGTTTTAGGAGGCGGTGGAGGAGGTACAGTCGAACCTTGTGAAACTAAATTCTCGATTTTAGTAAATTATTTTGAATCGAAAAGGAGTAGAGTACGTGCCGTATCGGTATTCGAGGACAGTCTTGGATTGGTAAATCCTGTTGTATGTCATTATCGGAACACGATTTGTAAACGACTGAAGGGTTATTCCGGCAGCGTCGGGCGAGCAAAATCTTCAATTAACATCTTTTAGAAATTGAAGGTTTTTTGAATGGAACAGTAGGGTCATTTTTCAGGTAGTCTCACAATGCGACTCAAGCGTGCAAACGCGCTGAACCTTCTTTGAAGAGAATTAGTTGCTTGCACTTTAGAGAATTGTCACACTCCTCAAAAATCGTTACAGTCGATGGACCATTGATTCAGTTATGTGCCACTATCTCTTTTTTAGGAATACTTCTCAAATGAGCTCAAAACTGGTGTGTCGATTGTAACCTTACCTGTAGCCAGTGAGTGTTTGATCTTTGTTGGTCTTGATTTCTACACCGGCATACTTGCATCCATCAACAGAAAGACCTGTCGAGAAATCCTTCAACCTAACTTGGATAACAGTTCCGGCTGGAGACTGAAATTCGGTGGTAGCATTGTACGTTCAAGCTCTATAAACAGTCATCAATTCCAAGCAAAGGCAAAAACCGATCTCATTAAGTTCATGTAAAATTACGAGTGCACAAAGTGTGGCGATTTATGATATGTTGAAAATAAAATAAAACTTACTGCAATCCAGTAGTTACATGTGAAGAATTCTTCATTTTCACGGTCATTGCCGAGAACATCCGTGAGTGTCTTCCAGGCGGGAGAAGCTTGAATTATCTTGCCGCACCCTGATGGCTGAACAAACAAATTTCGCCATGATATTTCCTCACTGTTAACAATTGTCAAGGTGGAATAGTGGCAAGTGACGCACTATCACACATACATAGTTCAGAAGGGAGTCCCGGACTATGTATGCATGGTAGTGGCCGAAAGATCGATATTCGCCTAAGCTAACTAGGCTTTCCATCCCTTCGTAATATTGGTGAATGGTATCAGATTTGTCTAGGAGAAGAAACGCTGACTTGGGCACAGCTGGTCATTATATCCAAATCATTATACATACACATACAGAGAGCCAGCACGACTCCGAATGAACTCACTCGCTTTGTGCATCGTTCTCCACCGTATCCACCAGGACAGATGCACTTTTGACAGTCTCTCGGATGAGGGAAGCCGCCCATCTCACATTTGACAGATGTGTGTGGGTCACATTTTTCTGAATAATGCGAAAACATGCAAACACTGCCAGGGACATGCGCATTAGTAATTTATTTGAACTTTTGATTGGTTAATAAGTCTTATGATGAGTTGTATAAGAAAAAGAAATATTGCTCAAGAGCTGCACACTGTATTCGCTGTATTTTCTCAAGATAAGTAGGTTGCGAAGCTATAAAGCCATTAGGAACATAGAGGCAGTGCGCGAACAACATACAGAATTGCTCCATTTTGAGCAGAAGAAAAGAATATTCTCAGATAAGCGCCATAAGCCCATAAGCAATGTATAGCGTCATACCTTTGCATTTATAGTGTTCGTTGAGCATAGAGAGTTCGATGAACGAAATGAATGGAGAACCAAGTGTTTGCTGATAGTAGACGTCAATTGGTACCATTGTTGGTTTTCCATTGAGCGATGAACTAGTAGGTGAATTTTGATAGTCAGAAAACATTCTTCCTTGTTTTCACTCTATTGTCGCACCTTTCGAATCAGTATATTAATAAACCTAACCTCATCCTATAATCTAGTAAATTAGCGCTTTTTGGTTGATAAATATGAATGAATAGATGCTACAAGTATTCCTCATTTTTATGGTATAGGTTTAATTAATTTATACTTATATGTGCTTAAATCCTTTGACTTTCTATAATCTCTCGCCTTGTGGTATTGGTGGTTTTTCATTGTTTAAGGATTCATACTATATGTAAGCTTACCTAGTCCCACCATAATGCATAATGCTACCATAGTCATAAGTCATTCCGTAGTTGTCGTTCGTCTTCGGTGTCTCCTTGTTGAACTGTTTGAGCCAGTCAGCATAAAAACATCACAATCATTTTATATATTGTATTCATGCATTAGGACGTTACTTAGTTTCACTGAAAAATACGTTCGATGCCAAAACAATTGCGTGAAACCCATAAACACGCAATGGCACATATTAAACACTATTATTTTATTATCTGATAAACGTTTTCAGCTAAGGTAAATTTTATGAACATTACTCAATGACCATTTATGCAAGTTCTACGTCTAATGGCTATGTTTACGAAATGCAGGAGCTGAAACATATAGTGGCTGTTCTTTTCGAGTCAGTAGGTTCTCACCGCTAAATGCATGATATTACCTTGATGTTAACGGTGTTGAGTGTGATGTAGTCATCACGATCGTAACGAGACATGGTATGTAAGAGTCCAAGAGCGTGACCAATCTCGTGAGCAGCGGTTGCTACTGACTCACAACCTGCCCCCAACGACAGATTCTGTTCACCTCCGACTTTTCCCACGAACGACCAGCAACCTTGCTGCGGAAACACCATTATTCGGTCCGTAGCTAAAATAACGAGACTTTCAAAGTCGGCTCATCGGCTAAAGCAACACTTGTGAAAGACCCAAAAAGTTTTGACTCTCAACTCTGATCGGTTAATTATGTTTACCGTTTCTTCATTGAACAGTGGTGCAATAAATTGGTGAGGTAGATTAAGGAGTGGCTTCGAGTAAACTCCTTTCGATTATGTAAGAAGTAGGTGAAGCTTGCTTAGAGTGACCATAAATTATGTCGCACCTGAGCTATTCTCAGCAAAATTGATGCAGGTGTCCTTCTCCCATAATTTCGCTCCTTTTATGAAGGCACTTCGCACCTCCTTGCCTGTAATAATTGCACTGTGTTTCTATCCAAATTATGACCTATCACGAGAACAAAGCTGAACTTACTGGCACTTTCATGGAAGTAAAAGTTTACTCCTTCTGACCATGTCATCCTCGGATATCTGTGGTCTTTGAATGCCTGACGTTTCGTACGACTCTTCCCGTCCTGTTCTTCTATACCCTCAACAATTTCCTCAGCCTGCTCACTGTAATACTGCTGCATTTAAATGTATAATAGTTAGTTTGTAGACAATGTTTGCGCACACTGTCAGAACCATGTCCGCTTGGTAAAGATCTTCACCAACTTGACTGTTTTCATTGATCTCTTCAATAGAATCTCCCGCCTCTTCAACCTTATCGTTTTTGATTGGTCGCCATTTCTGCAAAATTTGGCAACCACCAAATATCCAATTATAAGATTAGCAAACAATGCATCTAGCCAACGAACACAGCAGTCGCAATTGCGCTCGATTATTATGCTTTGTAAAGTTGAAGTATTTCTTACACAGGAGCTATAAAAATCGAAGATAATTACTTTCAGCCTCTCCTGAAGTGATTTCAACAATTCCGGAGTTAACCTTAGCGTCTTCACAATTTTTTCCTCCACGCGCTTGAAAGTGTCACGAATTTTTAAGAAGCTGGGGCCGCAGACCTGCAATCGTGAGGGGAATCGAAGGATTGTTGCTTCGTTCCATACTTTGCATGAAATACATATATGTGCAGATATTCATAGAGGGCTAACAACAAGCTCGAAGAGAAAGAGGCTCAAATTGCTTCTCAATTCAAACAATGACCTTTTTGAATCCATTGATTGTTGCGTTCTTTATTTTTTGACCACCGATAATTGTTGCATTCTTCAGCTTCTGACCGATGCTGCCTTGGCCAGAAAACACGTCTTTAATTTTACTCAGAAAGCCTCCATTGACAGCAACAACCAGCAGTAAAGTGAACAGTATCAACCTCATCCTCAAACTTCGAACCTCAAATATCATTATTACTTTTTGTAGCATAGCCTAAATCTTAGTAGTAGCCTTGGGACTAATAGCAAAGTGTTTAAGCTTAGTAATAGGATTTGTGAGTGCATGGTGAAAAATGATCACGAAATCATTCTGAAGAAGTAGTGGAATAGAATAAACGGAATGAGCGGACAGAAAACATAATTTCAAGGCAATGTTCCACCCACACCATATTATTCCACCAGATTTATTCTTTATATAAGCCATACAACTAGAAAATTCAGAAAGGTATGGTCAATTCAAGAGCCTCATGGAAAATTCAGCTCCTTCGAGCGCTTTTGTGAAGAACCAGAGCAAGATCTGAGTAACACACGGTCGAATAAAGCACATGCCGTGAGTGCTCTGTTGTCCCTTAAATAGCAATCCCCTCCAAAAAGGGCAATGTGTATGAAATCATCTAGCATCTGCTCTCCTAATTAAACAATATCCTACTTTCTTGCACTTCATTGATGCAGTCAAAAGAACATTTGGCGTGTTTGACTTCACCTCGAGCTAAAGCTGATCAAACTATTCATTATTGTTGTCGAACACGTGTGCTGTTCACAAGTGAGTAGGACATTAGACCTTTCCATTCACTCATCTTCACTTTAGTAGAGACTCGAAGTCGGTCGAAATGATTAAGAGGTGTTTTAGAGGCTTCTCAAGGGGAGACTTTACTCATTGAGGTGATGTTCGCTCCAACGAAGGACACGAGGCAATCTTGAACAGTTTAGTTAGCTGCGGCGAGTGGAGAATTCAAATAGACGGTGTTCTCTTGGTGGTACAAACAGATTGCAAAGAGAGTGGGATATTGTTTGATCAGGGAAGGAGATGTTAGATGAACTCATGCACGTTACCTTGTGCGACGCATTGAGGGGAGGTCGGTTTATGTTCAAGGGCCAATGGTGCACTACAATATGTCAATTTTTGTAATTGCATATCAGATATTGCTTGAAACTCTCTATAGAAAGCGCTCGAATAAACTGTTTCATAAAAGGCTCTTGAGTCAAGTCTACTAGTTTGACATTCTTCCGTTGAACGACCGCTATTGCGAGACCCAAAGTTTCTAGCTTAGATACTGAGGTGTGACACTAGGAGATATAAGACGTTCCAAAAATGTGAGTACTAATATATGGCGATGTATATAAAGGTTATCAACTGATAATAAAGGTGGGATCTATTATGCACGTTCGCTTACATTTAGTGCAACAACAAGCTACAATCACATTTTCAAATACTCTTCATCAGGCTCGATACAGACCTAAGGTTTATTCTTTAACTGCAGGCATGTTTCGCGCAGGCATCCACTTCCATTTCTGCGCGGCCATTCTTGAGTCTTGCTTCCCAGGACTCCGAGGTTGCAAACCGGGCAGGTTTCCTTTTGATACGAGCTCGCATGGAGGACTCAAGTGTAATGATACAGAGAGCAGGATGGCCATTCCTCTTTGGTGATAAAATGGGCATCTAGCGTCGGCCCCACTTCGGGCAAGCTTGGCTCTGTAGGCTGGAGTACCGTCCTGCTAGAAAGACGACGAGCTGCTTCTGGAGACGGAGTCGGATCAGTGCTCCATGGTGTCTATCGGTATACTAGGTTGATGCATAAGTTTTTTCCGTGTTTGATCCGTTCGTTTGCATGGACGTTGGTATTTCGGCATCACGTGTGCGTGACCTGTACATGATACTCTTTCATCACACTAGCTATCATTCACCCACCCTGCATATGCAGACGACAATGCCGCACAATTACCACTGTGACAGAATGTACCTACACAACAGCCTGGTTTTGCTTCACGATTTCGGCTGAAATGCAAAGGAAGCTTATAACAAGCTATTAGATACATACGGCGAGAACGTCATCTCTCATCGCACATGCAGCTCTTGATCTGCCAAATTCAAGAAAGGGGATTCTCTGTCTAAGATGCTCCGAGGCAGATGGAGTTGGATTTAGAAGTACTACGTTCCACCGTGGAGGAGGGACCATCTAACCACCAGGGAAAAGGCCACCATGCTCGGCTGTAATCAATATACGATTGTACGGGGAATGGAAGAGCTCGGCAAGGTAGCAAAGCTTGGCCGATGGGTCCCACATGAACTGTTCGCTGACTACTTGAGGAAGGTGGTCACCTGCAATTTTCTCCTCACTTTCCGAAGGAAGCTCCACTTTCTCAACTAGATGATCACTGAAGATGGGAAATGGGTCCTCTACTAAAACCCTGTGAAGCGGTAGTGGGTCGACGAAGGAGAATAGCCGGAAGCAACCCAAAGACCGACCTCCATCCTAACAAGGTTCTCCTGTTTTGTACTGTTGGTGGTCCAAAAGAGGCATGGAACACTGGGAGCTGTTGGAGAAGGAACAGACGGTCAATGTTCACCATACGTTACTCAGCTGCTGAAATTATGCGGAACCCTATTTTCACCATGACAACCCTCACACCGCAAAGGCGACCCAGGCCGAGCTGACGAAGTAAGGATGGCTGATTGTCGCGCAGCCTCCCTACAGCCCTGACCTCGCTCCTTCCGACTTCTGGCTGTTCAGCCAAAAAGGTTTGAAACAAAAGATGCCGTCAGAAAGGCACTCGACGACTTTTTCAAGTCTCATCCCGTCTTTTCGGGAGGAAGGAATCGACAAGCTGCCTGAGCGTTGGCGTCGAGTAGTAGGTGTGGGAGAAAATTTAAACAACAATCTAATACACCCACAAGGGAAGGATACTTGGTCGCAGTGGCCATTCAAGATGAGATGTATACCCACGTAGGTGGTTTCGAACCCTGATCTCAAATCCGCGTTCCAAGTCTGCGAAACGATTCTGGGAACAGAGTTACGGGACCAGTCTCTCCCTGTGTTATACCACTGCGATGAACGGATCACCGAGTCGAGCAACGCCCTTGACTGTGATCGGTGGGCTAGCGGATAGCGTGGTGGACTGGTAGGCATGGCATCAAGGTTTGAGTCCTTGATGCATGCCCTCGTCTTGCTTCTCCATAAAATGCGTCCTAAACGCTTGCAAAACTTTTTTGGGGCTCAATGTTGGGCATTTACGGGCTCCCTCGCAATCTAGGACTCCGGAAGATAACGATCCAATAAAAAAATTTTTGCCACTACTCACCGAATATATACGCCCATCTACCCCGGAACGGTCAGGATGGTGTTTCGAAATCTTCTGCAGCTCCCTGTACTTACGGTAGACGGCGGTCGAATGACTCGTCCGACCAGAGCCCTCTTTGGGAGGGATACGGTCCACGCATTTCAGGAACACTGTCTGCGCCGTCGAAGCGGTGATACTAGTAAACTGACATTGTTGAAGAAACACTGTAGAACAATAGTTTATCGCGTGTGCTCCGATTATCAGCTCATTCTTGGGATAAACATCCTTTCAAGGAGTTCTTTCATGAGGTAAACGTGGTGATGCGGTGGGATATGATACCACGGCTGTCCTCGAAACCCTAAATCCACCTATGAATTGCTTTGACCTTTCCCCCTATTGGCCTCCGTTGTTGATTTGAGGCGGTATCCAGAGGAAATGACTATGGTGCAATGGGACTCCTATATTAATTTTATGATAACTTATCCTTCCAACTCATCCGCTAATCTCTATAAGTAGGCAGATCGACCCGCTTGTTTTGCACCTGATAGTTGCGACCTCACAATGCATCGTAAGCTGCCAATAATAGACTAATTCGAAAGCTCATGCCCTCTTGATTTCCGTGGACGGCACTCTGTCGTGATGATACAGCACGTGCTCCTCATGTTCGAGAAGTTACGGTTCTTTTGAGACTCCAACTATAGAAGGCTATGGATCTTCTACTAGCGCCATAAAATTGGAGCTCATGGGCCAGATCACAAACTTGAAGGCTACTCTTCACTTCGGAGCCTCTATATCCCCACAAACGTAGGAGCTAAGTCCTCCATCAAATGCGATGGCACCACCTTTGGCCAGAACAATTCGCTGGTAAAAAGGCTGAAGGGCCATTGGAAATCACTCGAAGGAATCACTTGGAACCATTCTCCTCCGAGCCTCTGAAGTCCCTGAAGCCCATTTTGAGCGATTGTTCAGAATTCCTCTTTTGTTCGAGTAGAGCTCCAACCTTATTGGGCCGGTTGGAGGCAAAAACCGTTTCCTGTAATACCTTTCAGTGTTCCTAAAATGTGAGATAGCTACATAGATGCCCGATATTGACCCCCCAAAACGTTTTGCAAGCGTTTAGGACGCATTTTATGGCAAAACAAAATGAGAGCTTGCATCAAGGAATTGAACCTTGATGTCATGCCCATCAGTCCACCACAATATCCGCCCGGTCACCACTGCACAGAAAAGGGTTTTGCTCGGCTCGGTGATCCGTTCATCGCAGTGGTATAACACAGGGAGGGACTGGTCCCGTAACTTTGTTCCCAGAATCGATTCGCAGATTTGGAACAAGGATTTGAGATCAGCGTTTGAAACCACCTACGGGGGTATACATTCATCTTGAATGGCCACTGCGACCAAGTATCCTTCCCTTGTCAGTGCAGGTCTTTGTCAACTTCACGACATCGCCAACGAAACCACAAACGTCTTTCCTTTGGCCGTGACCCCCTCGAAAAGCATCATTTTGCTGTTCTGATCGCATTTTTTTCGTGTAAGATCACGCTTCGATGTTTGTAGCTTGAACGTGCTCGTTTTATGTA